AGCTGCGAGGGGGTGAGCTACGAGAACGCCCAGTAAGCATTATTGTCTTCTTTCAAGGCCTCCTTTGTAACCTTCCGATTTACGGTCCAACCAGCCTCCCATTTCCCAGCTGAAACAGCCAAAGCACACAAAGTTTTCACTGTGACATTTACTTACAGTTCCCAGTATGGGTGCTCCGTGAGTGTGTACTCATGGTGCATGTGGGGAACATAAGGAGGACTGTATTATGTAACAACTACCCCCACCAAAAAGGAACTTTTACAATGTGGGCAGAACACAGTTCTTATAACAAGAATGTCCACAAGCTATATCCTGACTTCCTTCTTTGTAAGGCACTCAGAATCCCTAACAGCAAAATTTGACAGAAACTGGAGCTCACAGTGAAGAAATATGTTTTTTGTACAAACGCTCTATTAAACTTATTTCCACTTCTTTCATTTTGTTCTAGTAGCACAATACTGTATGAAAGTGCTCCAAGTAATCCTCATTAATCTTTTACTGGGCATTGGTGAAGCCCCTCAGTTTACCCACTATCCGAAACAAGCAATTTTAGCACCTCTCATTTTAAGAACACATTACACAAAAGCCAAATTCCTTCTGATTGGACGCTTCTTGAAAACACAAGGTACGAGCATCAGGTGGGTGAGATTGCAAGTTGCATTTGCTAAACGTCAGTAAATCCTCACTTTTTAACTTTGTAAAGTTAAAGCCTGAATCGGAGCATTCAGAGCAGTCTGAAGCCTGACACTCTGTCTCTTTCAGCTTATATAGAGTGAAAAGAAAATGATCTCATCTTATATTTGTTGAACTACTGCTCATTGTGAGCCGTCTATTAGGTTTTCTTCCTAGCAAAATATTTGCACTGCAAAACACAGCCTCACCCTCAGAGTTGCTCAAGGACTGGAGCTGTGAATTGGGATTCACTAGAAGCAGAAGGTAACTTAAAACCCACACAGTCCTCACTCTACAGGTGATTTAGGAAAGTAAACGGGTTGGTCTTGCATGTGTTCTCCTTCTAGGTTAGCACCAAAGCAAATGAACAAACACGTCTTTTGGCATCACAAGCAGATGCAAATAAAACGCCAAAGCACCCTAAAGCAATTTTAACTGCACTAATATAATGACATATAAAAGTCCAAGTTAACAGCACAATTAAAAAATTAATTAATTAATTAAAAAAATCATAAATATAAAAATCATAACGGTCAGTAGATTAAAATTCAACACGATCAGCACACAGCCCAATCTAAATGAACATGTTCAAAAACTGTATGTTTTGCTGATTTTGTTAACAACTGGATGATTAACAATATCTACACTCTAATGGAATATAATAGAAAACCCCCAACTGATCACTTGGTTGCAGAGGTATCTCTTAAGTACTAATCAGGTTATATAATAATTATCTTTCTATGCCATCCTTCAGAAGGACAGAATGAGATGGTGACAATATATGCAGTAAAGGGCGTTGAGTACACACCCCAAAAATTAAATAAAGAAAACCTTTTGTGGATCTCGGGTAATTTTCCAGAATATACAACTAAGAGAAAGATGCCAATTGTCTAACAGAAAGTCAAACAAGTTCTAACAGTTTCTAACCTGGAATAATTTAATTGTGCTGTTAACTTGGACTTTTATATGGCGATTGTGGCTCAAGAGTTAGGAGTTCGCCTTGTAATCGGAAGGTTGCCGGTTCGAACCCCGGCTTGGACAGTCTCGGTCGTTGTGTCCTTGGGCAAGACACTTCACCCGTTGCCTACTGGTGGTGGTCAGAGGGCCCGGTGGCGCCAGTGTCCGGCAGCCTCGCCTCTGTCAGTGCGCCCCAGGGTGGCTGTGGCTACAATGTAGCTTGCCATCACCAGTGTGTGAATGTGTGTGTGAATGGGTGGATGACTGGATATGTAAAGCGCTTTGGGGTCCTTAGGGACTAGTAAAAGCGCTATATAAATACAGGCCATTTACCATATGTCATTATATTAGTGCAGTTAAAATTGCTTTAGGGTGCTTTGGCGTTTTATTTGCATCTGCTTGTGATGCCAAAAGACGTGTTTGTTCATTTGCTTTAGTGCTAACCTAGAAGGAGAACACATGCAAGACCAACCCGTTTACTTTCCTAAATCACCTGTAGAGTGAGGACTGTGTGGGTTTTAAGTTACCTTCTGCTTCTAATGAATCCCAATTCACAGCTTACCAAATTTCCCAGAGGAACCCACCCGAGGGATTAATAAAGTTTTATCTTATCTCTCTCTTATCTTAAATGCTGAACCACCAGACTCAGACAACATTTCTGCGCTAAAGTTAGCATCTAAATAAGAAGAAAATACATATCTGGTAAGCTATCATTACAGATAATCATCCTGGAAATATGCAGTTTCATGCAAACGGTGTCAAGAGCGCGCGCGCACACACACACACACACACACACACACACACACACACACACACACACACACACACACACACACACACACACACACACACACACACACACACACACACACACACACACACACACACACACCTCCCCTCAATGCTGATGTCAACAGTCTGAGCTAGCTTATTGTGGGCACAGTAAGATCCCTTTTGCTGACCACACGTGAAGGGGCAGCATGACACATGCAGAACACTTTGTTGTGCTTCTCTGAGTACTGCAGCATAGAGATGTACTGCCAAGCAGCTTTAAAACACCCTATAAAAACAGGCAACAATTCAACCACAAACACACACACAAAGAAATAAAATAAAAGCATAGATTTTGATCCATAAAAGAACAACAAAAACAACATCAGGCTAGGTCATTTGAAGCAGGACAAGCAGAGTTATTAAAAGCATCAGGTCAATGATCATGACACACCTACCCATAGACACTTGTTACCAGCAATCTAATACAGAGCCCCCTTTTCAAAGCCTAAAAATCACAGCTGCCTTGGAGACCATCGGATTACTGCAAGGATCACATTCCCCATTTCTTTGCTCCTACCAAGACGTGTGAGAGTTGGCAAGGAGGAGTGAGAAGCTGCACGCTAAAAAGGGTTTGCATTACTAATGAAGTTTGTATGTGTAGCAGCATTGTCATTAGTTTGTGGGAAAGTGGAAAAAGGGCCCATTAATATAGGCAAGCAGACACTTGACTTGCAAGCAGCAGGCCTGCTGGAATAGTTAGCTTTCTTGCTATATAATATGTTGGGTCTTTACAAAAGAATATAAAGTGTGCTTAAAATGACTAAATTAGGAATTTATAAATAACAATTCATCATCAAATCAAATCTTATTTGTGTAATAGCTATGAAGTACCAGGTTTGCAATCCAATAACAGCTCTTGTTTGCTTGTGCCAATATGCAACTCTTTTTCAAAATATGCAACCCTATGAAGGAGCTACAGTACACTAAGTGCTGGAGTGCAAGTTTTACTTATTCATGAAGACATTATATAAGACGAATGCCTGACATGATCCATAAAACATGACTACTAAAATTCAGTGCTTTAAGGAAATAAGGACAAACATGCTTCCTTTAACACTATAGTCAACAGTGTGAATCAAATAACCATTACAGGAAAGCAACCAGAACCATTGCTGGATCTTGGAACACAAATATTAGGTGATTATTTCCTGGAAACGTACTACACACTTTAAGTAACGTGAAATTTTCTTGTACAGCTTGGGAGTTTTAAATTTCCGCCTCTACCCCAAGGGAGGCCTACGCCACACACCATGTCTCTCGGCTGTCTTGGAAACACCTCAGTATCCCCCAGGAAAAGTTAAAAGCTGTGCTATACCCACAACCTGAGCACCGATAAGCCAAAGAAAACAGATGGGTGGATTTTCACGTACATCAAATGTGTCTTTATTTATTTATTTTTTAGGTTATTTAGTCTCCTAAAGAGCAAACTAATCTACATTCTCAAATAAAGTGAGACTGACATATTTATCACAAAGAAATTACCAGAATGGCAGAGAAAGCTGGACAGCTACCTGCTTCTGAGTCACCAATCTGGATAAAGGTGGCACTTTAGCCAGACTGCTAATCCCATTCCACAAACCCTGCGTACTGTTACCTGCTGCATGCCTCCGAGATTAATACAACTCATGAATTTGTTTAATCTACCAGACCTCTGTGCGCACATACTTTGGAGAACAACTATCATTTTTAGGAGGGGAACTTATTTACCAGAATGTAATAACAGATCTCCAATATGTCGCTGTTAAATCTATGTTAAGTATGTAGAAGTTCGGTGATTTTACAATGATTTTACAATAAGCTAGCTCTTGTGAGTATGGTTTTCTCTGTACAATATACAAAGACACATTGAAGTTTTATAACTGTAGTAACTTATAAATCATTGGACAAACAATGGTAGCATTTCCTTGATTTAGCTGCTTTTTTGTTTCATATGACAACATACATGTCATCTCGAGTTTTTATGAGCCGGTCAGACTGACTGGTCGATTTCAGGATAGCAGTTGATGCCCTTATGGATTTGGCATTGGAAAATAAACAGTCATGAAATATAGTTTAAATCAAGGGGAGATGGACTGAATTTTTTTAGCATTAAAAAGTTAAGAGATAAAGAGTTTAGTTGGTCGCCTCCAGCTTGCCTTGGTGGTCACTGATGTTACCTGACAAGTAGCCCGACTTCACTGGTTTTTAGGTTAGCTAGCTATGCCGCTAGTCAACAGCTGGCTACCAAACCTTCTGACATAATTTAAGTCATTTAATAAATAAAGCTTATCAGTAAGTTGGGTACAAACAAAACAATTTCAGAGCTGTTCTTAGGATAAGAAAGTCCAGAAAACGCCACAGATTGTTGTTAATGTTGTTAATGTTAGCTGTGTAGCAGGGGCATTGATGACTGACGGATATTATGCGGCAGAAGACACCAAGCAAAGCTACGTGGGGACGAGCATCACAAAGCCTGCTCCACCTATTGTTAGGACTGTGTTTTGCCTGACATGTTGATTATAGTGAGGATGTAGAATTAGATGTCGATGAAAGCTTACCAGCACAGGAGAGCTACAATGAGGCACACCAACAAAACGCGCAGTCTCTTCATTATCTTCCCGCGGGGACCAACATCCTCGCTCCTTGGGGTTTTTCTCCTAATGGATCACGGCTACACAACACACCGAAGAGAATCTTTAAGTACCTGTGTTAATTTAAACATGAAAAACAGCAAATCCCACACTTGAGGGGGTGCTATTTTTCATTATGCGGACCAGCTGTCCGCCTCCTTTTAGGCTCCTGTAGCCACTGCTGTTGACGAGTAGCTGGATCTCGCTATGTTCAACCCCCGCTGAAAAATCTAACCAATCAAATAAGCGTTGAGAATTCGTAGCCCAATGAAAAGGCGTTTAGCGACACTAGTTTAATTTGAAAGCCCCACCCCTTTCGATTGAGGATGAGTTGGTAGCTGTGGAGCAGGACGCGTCACCTATTTCTTGATAAGCAAATCACTTAAGCATGCAATAGTTAAAGTTATTGCTCAACTGTGAAATGTGTCGACGTGAATATATAGTCCTAGCACTTTTTAAAAAAATGTAAATTAACTTACATTCATTCAAATATGAGGTGTATGAATGAGGGTGAGTGAAAGAATTTGTACACTGTATACTTCCTTCTTCACCACTGGAAAACACCTTCAAGTAGTTAAACCCATAAATATTTTTAAATCCTGGAAAATGGTTATCGGTGTTTAATGAGAAATGGGCTAATTATTTTTTTCTGCCGACATAATTTTTTATATTTATTATATATCATATAATGGGACATTATCTTAACTGTAATCTTATCCGTTTCTATTGTATTTTTAGACTATAAAGAAACAAGAGAACAAAAATATCTGGTTCGTTAAAAACACATTTTACACTTTTGCATGCTATTAGTCACGTTCCTACTTTAGATTTTGTTTAAACTCTGCTTTTAACAAGTTAACACTTCGTCACTTACACGTTTGTGGAAAACAAAAAGATCAAAACAAATACAAGTCTTGGTTTATTTCATTTACCACATAAAACACATTTAAAGTAGGGTGGTTTTCTACGTACGCTCATACCGCATGGAACAATAGGACTACAAATCCCAAAGTGCAATTCCATTGAGGCCCTGAATAATTTGCCTGACTTTTTTAAAATTGTGTGTGGTTTATTTCACATACTTAATAAATACAAAAAAGTACATACACCAGATGCTTGGATCAACAGTGAAATAAAAAGGTGGGGTTTTTTTAGCAAATTATAAAACACATTTTTTAATTTTTATTTCGGCGGGGTCCTAAGCTGTCGCCAATCTTCAGAACATTTCAACTAGAAGTCAACTTCGGGCGAAGGTAGCTAACAGCCGCTGACTGACCAGCACTGTGGCCGGCCTCTTTAATCACATTTCTGGGTCTTTGGGACTTTTAGGGTCATGGCTTTGACCATGAAGATGGTCCGGCTATTTTTGTGTGTCCTGTCCGTGTTTGTCTCACTGGTCTCGGAGAGGTTAGTGGTGCTGGCTGCCTTCTCTCAGTCTCTTGACAGCGACTTCACGTTCACTCTGCCCGCCGGTCGAAAGGAGTGCTTCTACCAGACCATGAAGAATGATGCCTCACTGGAGATTGAATATCAGGTCATAAAGCCTCATAAAATAGGGATGTTGTTTTGGGGTTTGTATGGGGTTAGCTGGTCAACCCAAAACTTCACACTGCTATCTGCCAAATCAAATCAGCGTTGACATATTACACTTGTGAAACCTGTTGATTAGATCTTTAGTTGTGGTACTTATTCCAATAATGGAATATAATTAAGGCAATTTAGCCAGGTACACGTTTAAGGTATTTATGCTTTCTATATCTAACTAATGTTCTACTTTTATTTCGAAGTGTTTTACTGGTAGCTATTTGCTTTACAGCTTTTATTTGACTAATGATTATTTTATCAGTTAAGCTACCGAGCAGTCCATACAAGTAAAGGCGTAGAGATATAAAAATAATCATTTTACTGGGTGCCAGAAATTCTAAAGGTATTTCTCAGTATTATATTCGCAATGTTCAGAAAATAGTTGAATTTTAAAAAGAGCTCAAATGGAGTCCACTTAAACCAGATACAGCAGTAAAACTTAACTGTTACATTAAAATTTGGGTGATGCTTTTAAAACTTTAAGTATAATGTAATGATTTCGATAGTAGCTATTTTTACTTGTAACGGAGTACATTTAAAAGTGTTGCATTTGTACTTTTACTTCAGTACAGGATGCGAATACTTTCTTCAGTTACATCATTCAAACCACATGCAGCCTACACTCGTTTACTACTGTTTTAAATCCAGAGCAAAAGAAGCAACAAGTAAATTGGTTCACACCTTGATTTTCATATTGTTGGGAACCTGTTTTGCAGGTCAGTGTGCAGGTTACGCAGAGAATCGGAATCTATTCTTCCTGTGTGACGTCACAGAGTTTTAATTTGTTATTTAGCTGCATAAATGTCAGACTCCTTACAAAAAAAACAATATTCCTGACATCTCATGTGTTAAAACAAGCATTAGTAAGCCACAACAGATGTGAATTTCTCAGGGGTTGAGGGCTGATATGAATGCTTCCATCCGCAGGTGTTAGATGGTGCAGGCCTTGATGTAGACTTCACTGTCTTCTCTCCATCGGGCCAAATGCTATTCAGTGACTACCACAAGTCTGATGGTGTCCACACGTAAGTAGCTCCGATCTTCTATTTAAAAACTGACATTAATAACTCAGGTGTTTGGGGGAAGATCTTACTGCTTGTGCTTTCTTCCAGCATAGACACTGAGGAGGGAGACTACATGTTCTGCTTTGACAACACGTTCAGCTCAGTCTCTGAGAAGCTCATCTTCTTCGAGTTGATCCTGGACAACATGGATACAGATGAAGACCCAGATGACTGGAAGGAGTACGTCCAGGGAACAGACATCCTGGACATGAAGCTGGAAGACATTATGGTGAGAGTTGGTCTTGTTTGAATAAATTCAACACATTCCAAACCTGTCGTTTTAATAGATTTGAATGTGTGAGCTTTAAACCTTAATAGCACTGATAGATGGTAGGTGGTTAAATTAGATTCAGAGTGTGTTGGTTTTATTCCCACTTGCATTTTTAGACTTTGTCCCTCTGTTGCCTGAGATATTTCAGAGGATCATCCAGGATGACACGGGGGGTGCAAAGTGACCGAACACACTGCCAACAAAATAGCACATAATCCATCACCAACATGTAAAGTTACACGAAGTGTGTCACAAGAAAGGACAATGTCATGAACTCTCACCTACTGGCTGAGGGCGGCCAATTGTTTCAGCTTGCACCACTCATTTGCTAAAAATAGCCTAAATTTGTGGCATAAGTCACATAGCCTTGTCATCTTGGTAAGAGGTAGGAAATTTGTCCCCCAGCTGTTGAGGAAGTAGTTTTTTCAAGGAGGAAGGAACACCATTTCAGACTCACTCTGATTACCTGCTTTGTTTTTGTTTAACATTGGTCAAGTAAAATTTACATAAAGAGTACAGTGGATCTATTAGCTTTCTTCTCAGATTCCCTCAGTATGACCTGCTTTTCTCCTCTCCTTCAGGACACCATCAACAATGTGAAGGCTCGGCTGGGAAAAAGCTCTCAGATCCAGACGCTTCTGCGAGCGTTCGAGGCTCGTGACCGAAACATCCAGGAGAGTAACTTTGAAAGGGTGAACTTTTGGTCAGTGGTCAATCTCATTGCTATGGTTCTGGTCTCGGGGGTTCAGGTCTACCTAGTCCGCTCGCTGTTTGAAGATAAACGGAAAATTCGAACATAACACAACCTGAAATGGAGTGAAACAGAGAGACTGACACAGTTGCCCACAAAAACCTTATGGATTTTTTCAGCTGATTTCCCCTTTTGTGACTTTTAATCAAGGATATTATATATATATATATGCACACTTACACACACAATGATAAAGAGCCAATTTACCACAGTTGTTGCTCTGGTCTTTTAAGTCGTTGCAGCTTGAAGGAAACCCCAGGTTTGGAAAAACTTATGACTCTCAACTTTACATACAACCTAGCTCTGTCTTTCTTGAAAAAACATGCATCTTGTTTGATAGGTCCCCCCAACTGCTGTAGTTCATCAGTGATAGAAGCACATTTACAATGCAACTATTTTTCTAATGGAGCCAGGCCAAATGCAAAAATGTCTTCTTTTTTTCTTCCTTTTTTAAAAAAAAAATTAATTTCAACATAGGTTAAGCTAAACTAGATGAAGGAATGGTCTGGGGCCTGTTATTTCTGTCAGATAGGAGTGAGAGGTGCTGCCAGTCTGTTAGTGTGTCTTCCCCTTACAATAAGATGCCTTATTCATTTGGATTTCGCTCCCAGCCTTTTGCCTATTGGTGAGGCCTTTGAATACTTTTCTTATTGCCACAAATATTTATGTTGTTACAATTCAGCCACATATTCCCCTTCATGCCAATACTGAAAATACAGGGCTGCACTGCAATGCTGCTCTTTGGCACCCAAAAGACCGCAAGAGAAGGAAACGGGCCATCTCCAAATCTCTTTATAACTACTGCCCCACTCTCCTCTGCCATGATTTGTGGACTTGTGGCCTGAATGGCTGCCAGCCAGCGCCGCCGCTGTGAAGCCTGTCTGCTGCTGCTGGGTGTCTACTTACAGCCACCTACTGTGTGAAGATGTTGAGCCTGCCCGTCTCTCCTGTGACAGAAGTCTATTTCTATCTGAGTGACATCTGGAAGGTCATTGCCACTACTTCAATGCACTGGTTGGTTTAATATGCATAAACTATCCTTTGCCTTGTGGTTTTGTTTTTTTTTTTTTGTTTTTTTTTTGTTTGTTTGTTTTTTTCCTCTTTTCAACATACTTTTCCAGGTCCTTGCACTGCCTCAGATCCCACAGAACCCCATTTTGGCAAACAAAAATGGGTCCACAGTCTACACGGTTGGAATAACACCAGTTTGTTACCTGTTACTTGTATTGTATTAAACTGCTACTGCGGTTGTAGTTTTTATTGATGTTTATTCATCTCCACTGTGGAACCCTGGCTGCTCACTACCTTGGCTCGATGCTTCATGTTGCAGTCTTCTGATTTTTGCCTTGTGCTGTAAGGTGAAGATCATACAGTGAGTTTATCTTTTGTTAGAAGTGAATAAAACCAAACTGAGTAGACTAATTGGTTTACAGTTATAACATTTTGCCACACGGTATGTGCATATGTCAATCACAAATTCTTTGGATGCCTGTAATAATATTGGATGTCTGGTTGTGAGAAATGGTCATCATCTGCCTCAGTTTCAGTGCTTTTCCTTATTCTCATGTATGGTTGCTGTCACTGGTATTTACGTACTGTATGTCTGGATTCTAATAAGTGATGTATTGGTAATAAAAAATATTTTTTGATCAATTTTTAACATGCTTTCAGAATTCTACAAAAACAAAAGAACAACGTTTTTTTTTTAAGTATTTCTATGTTACTGAGTAATAAAAGTTTGTGTCTACAGCTTCATTGTCTTTGAGAAATGTTTTCTGTCATAAAACAGCAGTGGGAGAAGAGGGAAAGTGGCATCATATTTATTTAGCTAATATCCTGCAGTTGAAAATTTCTGCAGATTAAACAGCTTCACCTTTTTTCTGACCTCTGCATTCTGTTGTTATATTCCCCCCCAAAGAGTGTGATACTGTGATTCAAATGTAGATTTAAAAACAGAAATTATCTTTGTCATCAATGCAAAGCCATTATATTCGATGCTCAAAGTGAGAAATTTTATTTTTTTTGGTTAGCATATGCTAATGACAGTAACATCTTTCAAAAAAGGTGAGACAAGGGCAACATCTGGTGAAATGTTCCCACAGGTAATTAGGTTTATTAGTAATAGGGATGGGTATTTAAAAAAAAAAGAGCATCCCGTAGAGAAGTGTCAAGTGTTTCAATAGGCTTAGGAATACTTTGAAAAACTACTGCATGCAACCGTACAAGGTGTGCTGCCTCTCTTGGCCCAGGACATTTAAGAAAAAGAGATTTAAAAACGTAAGACTTCCTGGCTAAATGATAACTGAGCTGTTATCAAATCATTCAAAATTTTATTTGATCTTTTTCTTGGTTGGTGTATTCTTCAGGCTAAAGAAGACCATCTGGCTTAATCTCACTGTACTGTTAAAAATACCAGCATCTGTGACAGTATATAGGGGCGGTCATGCATACAGCAAGGACAACTTGTGCATCTGCTAAACAGATTTTGGCACACAACAAATGCTGCCATCTAGATGATGTCTGTTTCAGAGAAGGCTTCCTTAGGTCAGTAAGACAATGCAAACCATGTTCTGGCTGTATTATAGTAGCTACATGGCAACCAGCAGTCCAGACCAGTCACCAAAAAAAGAAAAATACAAATTTACAACAGTTTCGATAATTATGGAAGTTAAAATGCAACAAATCAACTTAATATTTATTTATATATATATTAAAAAAAAAAAACAATTTAAGATTCTCACTTGGAGCATTTGATATGTTGTAAATATCATCTTTTTCCAAAGCATCCAAACCTTTTTTTGAAACAGCGTTATGAATAGACCTTCTTTTACAATCATTTCGACATGTTTGTGCATACAGTAACAAGCCTGGTTTTACTGCATATGAGCGGGGTGTATAAACCAGTTATGCAGATGCTTGTAGAATACCTAGGGTATCTGTAAGGATAATTTACCCTGCCGTGAAGCTGCTTGGCTTCTAACATGTCCTTCATGGTGCGGTGGTGCAGAGATGTGATGATCAGACATTCTTGTAGTGTAGTAACACAGGCCCTTCCAAAGTACAGTGAATGTAACACGGTGGGAAGAAGCAGAATGAAAACGTTACTGCGACTTACTTGCTTTAGTCAATCCACAAAATATCACGTTTCATGATACTTACGGGCCTATCACACCCTGTATGCACGACCGGGTACTCATGGAAACACCGTTATGAAATGATTTCCTCTGTAAAGTCAAATATAGAACAGATGTGGCAAAGATTAAATCATAAAGTAATAATACAACAACATGAATTTAGTGGAAAGTGGAAGAGTAGAGAATGTAGAAACCTTGTTGGGAATTAAATGTTCTTTTCCAGGGTTTCTTTGTGTTGGCAGAATTTACCGTGGTGGTCGGCGTTTGTGGCTCCTTTGACCCCGAGCTGGAGCTGACATGACTGCTGGCTGCCTGAGCTGTTGTCAGGGAGACATGGGGCTGTGGTCTACACTTTGAGAAGCTGTTATTATCACGATACAGATGAGCGTATTGATTAATATCACAATCAACAAGACAAACAATTTTAAAATTGACATAAACTATTGCCACTCTAAGAATATTTTCCTAGAACTTTAAAATGCCTGATTACCTTTTTGAAGCCACTTCGGTCTGTGGGTTTGGTCTTATAACTTCAGCACAGAATGGGCTACGTATGTTCAGCACAGGCAACTTGCAAAAGAAAAAAAGGTACTGTCATAAAGTGGACAGACAGCGCCAATGTGCTTTTCAAACAAAGCACGGTTATTCACAGATACCAAAGTTGACTTTTGAATCCTGACATATTAAAAAAAAATCAAAATCAAGGGGCATACCCTTTCAGACTGGTGAACGCAGATGAAATTCATACACAGATCTACAATTTCATTTTCAGCACAGGCGCGTGGCATGCTAACCACAGATTATTATATCAGATCGTAAGGTTCCCTGCAAAGATGCACTCACATTCATGAAGAGAGCAAGAGAAAACTATATCCAAACCCAGATTTCATATACGAACATTTATCATACTGTATACAATAGGCAATTCTAATGATGTTAGTACCAGTACACATGGGAGTAGAGGGAAACATTTAGCATGCAGACTTTCATGATGCCAATCTGGTATAAACAATTTTGTTAAAGAACTGAGTCAGGATATGTGGGGAAAGGTGGAAGAGGAGTTCTTACTTCCCTGAAATAAGTAGAAAGAGAAATCCCAGGTTGTGGGATGAGCTAAATCTCCACATTCCTAGCTCACTCCCAAATATGTTCAGTGGGCTGGCTGTGAATGTAAAATATCCAAGTAATAACTAGAAACAACCACTGAAGCAAATACTCACTTCAGAGGTTGATTAAATACCTGAGAGCAGAGGTAAATAAACTGTATTTATTCTTTACACCTTGCTTGATTATAAATTTTTTTTTCCTCATTTAGGTGGATCCATCATATTATTATTATTATTATTATTATTATTATTATTATTATTATTATTATTATTATTATTATATCGTACAATATATATAATAAGAGGTCTTGGACTGTATTAATGACATGTAAAAATGTCAAGAAGAGTCTGACCAGCAGACAGTAGAGGGCAGCAGCACGCCAGTGTAGCTACTTCAGAGAGCGCCAGAAGAAGAAGAACAGAGTTCTCCAAGAGGTCGCTGCAGCTAAAGCGCTTTACTTCCGGGATACTGTCAGGATGAGATTGTAGCATCGGCGCTGAGTAAAACCATATTCCAGGTAGGTGGAAAACACCTAAGAAATATTTTTGTAGGTATTTCAGTTAACTCAGCACATTATTGTTTTTACACTCGTGCGTACCGGAGATGCGCGGGCTTATTGTCCCTTTTTTAAACCGGAAGAACCAGTAGTTTTATAATAGACAGACTCAGAGATTATATCCATTCACTTGACAGCAAAGAAAACGCTTCAAATGTTGTTCAGATCCAACATTTGTTTGGCTAACAGAGCTGTGGGTGAACTACCTAAAAACAACATAATATTATATCAGCTTTAGAGCTTTTGAAGTCTTTTTATGAACCCAGAAAAGGACCCTGGTTGGCCTGCTACTTTAAGCCTTGTCTGTAAGGCTTAATATGTTTAGTAAAATAATGATAAATTTCCCTAGCCACTTTGAGTCAAGTCATGTCACAAAACGGTAGTAACTTTAACCAAAGGGCTTTCCAGTCGTGCAATATTCAGAAACATAATGTGTTTATAATGGGACATTACTGGGTAAGCAGTGCAAAAGACTACGAGGAAACCACAAATAATGAAAACCACATAACAAAGATTGCAGGTATGACAGATCATTTAAGTAGTGGATAAAACACCCCTGCTGGTCTCAAACTCTCCACCGTCTGTGTTTTGTGTGTTGAAATCAGGGTGATGGGGCCAGATGGTGCCCCAGGTCCAGCTGTGCCATGGCGTAAGGTGCTGTGGGAACGCCAGCCTTTTCCAGATAACTACGTAGACCAGCGGTTCTTGGAGGAGTTACGCAGGAACGAGGGCATCCGGCAGTACCGTTACTGGGCTGTAGTGAAGGAAGCTGGATTTGTAGGACAGCAGCTGTCTTGTGTGGCCATTTTTATCACCCTCTGGCTCTACATGGAGCAGGTACTGCTTTGGGTCCCCCCCCCCCAATCTTTGAAGCACAAAGTGTCTTTACCAAATGGAGCGGGTTATTAAAGAGCTCTACTTTCTTCACAGGGTCTGCTGCTGCCTGAGACGTTGCTGTGGTCCAGCCTCATCTGTGCCCTACTGGGTTATGGACTTCATCAAGCCTTGACATCTCGCGTTGAATCATGTGGTGAACCCCGCACTCATCTGGCCGATTTACAGAGTGCAGCCATTTTCCTTTCCTTCACCTTTGGCTTCTCGCCAGTTCTTAAGACACTAACAGAGTCTGTGAGTACAGACACTGTGTACGCCATGTCTGCTTTGATGCTGCTGGCCCATTTGGTGTCGTTTCCTTACGCCCAGCCATCGCCTCCTGGAAGCCTCTCTTTAAATGCAGCTCTGTTTGCCTCGGTGTGCCTAGCCTCTAGGTTACCCGGAGCTCTGCACACTTTCGCCATGCTAAGCTGCGCCCTGCTGGTGTTTGCTCTGTGGCCCTGCCTGCTGCAGACGCTGAGGGAGAATGCCCCTGGCCATTTTACTGGGGTGTGCATGGGAGTTTGCATTGGAGGGATAGTAGGTCTGGGGTCTCAGACGCTGGGTGGAGCTGTGCTCTTAACCCTGGCTTTAGCAAGTGTAACACTGCTCTGTCCTTTCCTGCTTGTCAGGCTGCAGAGGCACAAAGACAACATTCATGGACCCTGGGATGAGGCTGAGATTCGTGAGGACCTGAGCCGCTTCCTTCACTAATAAGCAGCCTAGCACAAGCAGCTCCTAAACAAACTGATATTAAAAGTGTAACTGAATTTTATATGAACCAATTCACTGTCATAGTGCTGGTTTCTTGGTGCTGTGCATGTAAAAGGACTAATTTTAACTGTTTTGTTTTTTTTTATCACTGGTTCATGTATGATTGGAAAGCAATGACAAACTATTATTCTCTTCCAGGTAGTATGAGGATGGTTTTTAATGTTCAAGCTGCTACTGTTTTGTAATTTACCTCAGTTTGTGCGAAAGGTCTCAACTAATAATATGACTTGTTACAGGATGTTAATGGTTTGCAAATCTCTGTAAGAAAAAATGAAATCACATATAAAGGGCTGTAATTCCATTTTCCACAAATTATTTGTAAATATTAGAAGACTTTTAGGATTTCATTGTGTATTTTGGTAATGAGAGTATTTCTTCAGTGTTATTCAATACAATACTACAAGAAGCTGTTTTACCTGCTACACACCACAAGCTTAATATAAGACATAGCCGCAGTTTTTAGAGTTACCATGTCCCTTGTTCACAAGTCATCAGCACAGCAGGTTGTTCCTAGTGTTTGATTTGGCAGATTTTTACACCAGGTGTCATTCTTGATTTAAAAACCCTGGAAGGGATTTGTCTCCTTCCAGGGTTAAACCGGGTTGCGTTCACTTCAGCTACTACACAGTGGAGCTACACACCCCATATAATGATAACTTCATGAATCTTGTAAAATATGGTACTTTTTGGGGGGGTCATGTTTCAGTTGTTATCAAACTTTCTGTCCTTTACTATTAAGGTGTTTTTAATAAAAAAAAACAACACACATACACACAAAGGGACAATATGTTGTAACATTGTCGCTGTGTTGTGAATTTAAATATGGCCCGAAATATGAAATGTGTCATGAGCACTGAGGTAAGAAAATGTAGACGTTTTCTACAGTCAATGAAAAAGATGAGGGTCTTTCAAATCCCAATCAGTGACGTCACATCCGATGAGCAACACCTGTTGACAAGGTGTTTTCGGTCGACAGAGAGCAACATGGCGGAAGTTTGCCTACCTAATTTAGTCAAACTTCCATTAAAAAAACCAAAAACAACTTTATGCTGATGACCTCCCAGTTTGCTCAGCACACAGTGTGAAACAGACCGGGGTTCCTCTGTTTATTTTTAATTTTTGGCTCAGATTAAAGAACAACTACATGGCGACACATTGTCTCCTCTTGCTTTTTGCTTTAATTGCAACATGTAAAAAACAAAAATTTGCTGTAGAAACTACACCAGAACTACTGCTATATGTTGTTTAGGAGCCTCTGGGTTAGCAGCTAATGACCAAATAAGTGAGCTATGACGGCATCAGCGGGCACTAGTGCAGCCGACCTGGCAACAATGCGCGGTGGTCGCTAGGTGTCATACCTTCACTTCTTTCTTTGTCCTGGTGCGACGTTTGACGGCGGGCTTTGCAGCTGGTTTTGACTGCAGTGTTGGCCCCATGGTCTGAACAGCGCAGCAGGTAAGATGTTCAGCCGAGCTGCTTGTAGCTGTGCGGCCTCCTTCGAAGAACTACAGTAGAGAGTGTGCCGTGGTAACAACGCGTCACAGGTTAAAATGTTTATGTTTAGTTTTTTTTCCTTCGTCTTCCAGTCGGAGTTTATTTACACACCAGTGAGAACGCACACACTTTACAAACACACACACACACACACACACACCTACATATAAACGGGTATTATGTAGTGATGGGCAGATGAAGCCCCATGAAGCACTGAAGCTTTTCATCCAATTGGTTCACCCCAACGCGAAGCTTCATGAAGCTTCATTTGCTCTAGCAGGACACCTACTGGACGTAAAAATAATAGCTGGCATGAATTTGAAGAGTGTGGCATTTTGCACACAGCCTGTAAATGTCAACAACAAAAGGAGTGTGTAAAACATGTATATTGTAGTGATGGCAGTACACTGTGTATATTTATACTGGCAGTATGGGAAATGATTATTTGGAAATGCTTGAAATGGAAATGATCATTTACTGTGAGGTGAGGTGTGGTTGGGGTGTGGACAGTAGTTGTGCTTTTGTAACGTTGAGGTATGGACAGCTACACACTGAGGCTTTGAGCCTCAGTCCTGCCTGTTCACATTTTATTCTGTAAAAACTAAATTTTCACTGCTTTTACGACCTTTTTAGTGGGGAGAACATAGCTGGGATTTAATGATTTAACAAATCTTTTGAATCCTTTGTCCTCCACAATGCTAAATGGCTGGGAGTCCTCAATCACCATGCTGACCAGGTCTTCATCTATTTGAGATTGTTCTCCTGAGGAAAGACAATAAAGATAAAGCACAAATATAAATATCACACACGTAACTTATAACAGTTGTATAATATTGTTATATCATTTAGTAACATTACTGCATCCTATATTATCACTGCATTTGATGGCTCACCTGGTCTTGCTCCACAATCGGTGTCCCCCTTATTCTCATGCAAAGCTCTGTAGTGCCTAAGCATGGATGAGGTGTTGTTGTTATATCCCAGCTCCCTGGCACATAGCAAACACTTCACCTTGTACAAAAGTCAAGACAGCTCAACATAAATTGTATTGCACCATCAGTATCATGGAAATACATCTTCTGTAGAAATTTACATACCTTGTTGGGAGGAATAAGATCAAAATGTTCCCACACAGGGGAGGACATCCTCCTCTTCTTAGCTGGCTCCATTCTCTCCTGACTTTCCTCACTCTCATAAACCTCCAAACTGTCTCCAAACTCTCACTAACAACTCTCCATCAAACACCCACATTTTTGAATGTAGTCTGAGGGGTTTATATCGCTGTCATATCTCGCGGCAAAGTTCGAACCGCTTCATGAACCAGTCACGTGGTACAGCCGGGCAGCGAGGCTTCGGACGTCATCATTTTCAGCTCCTCCCATAAATGAAGCAAGCCTCGATACGCGCTTCGCGGAAACGCCCCCTCCATTACTCGACACACGCTCCGAAGCCTCGATACAGAACGTCCCATCACTAGTATTATGAACATTATCTTCAAATTGGATTTGAAGACCATAGCTTTAGCTTTACAACTAAAATTATTTAACGACTTTACTGGAGACCACTGCAACCCCATAAGGTAATTTCTAAGGTTTTAAGTTAGCTGGTTTTAACACCTTGTAGGCCACTGAACCCCCCCCAAAAAAAGAAATAAATAAATAAAATAAATCAGCATAGGGTTCTGCTTACACTAATGCTGATCAAGTCAGCGATAGCTAGCTTCCAAATAATGACATTTGCACATGCATTCAAAAATAAAATACCTGTTTATTCACGGAAAATAGAAACAGTGCATGTATATTCTTTTCAGTATAATAATTCAGATTGATATTTTTATCTACAAAAGGTTCAGGCACTTGAGAGAAGCCAGCAGACAGTTGTGCACATTCCATCGTTTGTGGCCGTTGATATTATGTACAAAACAGGCTCAGGATGGAGTGAGTTTTGCAGACAGCAGCTCCCAGAGGAGACAGAGAAAAGCCCATCATCGTGCTTCAGCTGTATTATACATCATGCAGGTCAGGAGTGTCTCCGGGTAGCAGCCAGCTGCAGCTGAAAGGACCATGGGGGCAGATGGGTAATGGAGTTCAGAGCAGAGGGGGCTTATTTCACACTTGGGATTGCTGGGGGAAGCCTCCTGGAGACAATATTAGATCAAAGACATTACTATATGGTTTATATTAGCAAAGTTTCTATAAAAGTTTCTCTACATTAGATCTTATAACATCTTTCAAAATTTGAAAGACTTATGCATGATTTTGAGGACATGGTATCTCTGATGGGACGGTGCTGTCTCTCACTGTAGCTTTCTTAATCATCCGCATTTAAATTTCTAGTTAATCTGCAGAGAGGTACAGTCTGGGGCTAAGCAGTCAGGACTTTATAAGCTTTATACATTCAGCCTTCCTAAATAAATAAAGGAATAAGATAATTCTGAACCCTGGATAAAGATGTTCATGAATTAGGAGATGCCTTATTATTAGCAAGGAGTTGATCCAAGTGTAGCAGTGCCAGCTGGGGCTTTCAGTTGTTCCTAATTCCAAGTTATAATTTACATATTTCTATATTTCTTTACTGTGTTTTTATTTGCCCGTAGCTCCACACATGATAGGCTAAATAGACTTTATAATGATGAGAAAATGCACATAAAGGCAAGACTCATAAAGCTGCATAGAGCATACAAGTAGAGTACAAGTACAAGACTGATTACAGTAAGATCGTGTCCCAATGACTCTATATCTATAGGGGAGCCAGACAAGCATTAGGCTGGATGGAAAGACTCAGGCAAGGAAAGAGAGTGTATGAGGGAAAGAACCTAAAGAACCATTGGAGAGCACAGAGGAAATGAGGCAGAGAGAAAAAGGAGAGACGGGCCAAAAGCAGGGGAGGAACCAGTGAAAGAGGAGAAGTAAAGAAAAAGTTGAAGAAAAAGAGGTACGGGCAAAAGGAAAAATAATGGTTATTGCATGAGGGAAACTGAGGAAGGCAATAAAACAAATGCATGCTAGAAGAAAAAGGGGGAATGAAGGACAGAGAGAAAGATGAAAAGTTGACAGGGCGCTCAGCCTGTTGTATCTGGCTCCAGTAGAAAGCATGCGGAGGTCTTGTCTACTGAGGCTGATGGGAAGGAGAATATGAGAAACACATTTTCCAGCAGACCCCCACCCAGCTCAAATAACAACTTTTTCTAACCCTGTGCCTTTGTACGGGAACATTTGATTTTGCATGTGTGCGCATGTGTATGCATAAATGCCAGGCTTGGCGAAGCCTAGAGGTCATCATTTATACAACAGGTCAGGTTTCATGGGCTAATCTCTCTGGTTTCACAGTCACCTTGGCACCAAGGCTGGGGTACGATTTTGTTGACTAGTGTGCTGCCGAGAGCCATTAGGGGAGCTTTTGGGTCCAGCGCTGGGCACCCGAGGAACAGGTGGAGCATGGCTACGGATCCCAGGCTTACCACTGGCTGCAGTTTTAGGGAGGCTTGGCAAGAGAAGCAGAAGACGAGAGAAGCTTAAGTGATAGGTTGTACAGATTTGTTTCAATGAATCCATCTATGTATATGTGTACATTTGCACCTGGATGGTTTTATCCAGGAAGAATCCACAGGTGGAGGCAAAGGGGTAGTGCAGGTAGAGGTGGAGATTTCTCCAATGGCAGCGAGCGCCTCCTTCAGGGCAGCATGCTTTTGGAGCACTTCAACTCGGTGCTGTTGCTGCTCTGGTGACTCATCCATCAGAGCTGAGCATTCTCCCAGAGCGTAGAGTTGGGCCAGGAGCTCAGAGCTAATGAACTCCTTAACCTACA